ACTCCTCCCACTGGGGGTTTTTGTCCTCACTTGAGTCAGGTGAGAACAAAATGAAATCTGTGGGTCTTCTTCACTTACAGAAAGTTTCTGAGGACCTTGCCATGGGAAGGGAAAGCAAAAGGCCAAACTTAAGCGTGCTGGAAGGCCCCAAGGTCCACCATCTCTCCCAGATCCCTGCATGCCAAAGATTAAAGAGAGGGCTGGGAAGGCCAGGCCAGTCACAGTAATCTCAAGACTGTAAGATAAATTCCAGAGCCTTTCCTGGAACCAGAAGAGAGGTGAGAAGATGTAGAATTCTCACTCTCTGGGGAGTAAGAACCCCACTTTTTTTTTTTTTTTTTTAAAGGAAAGCACCATGGTAAAGAAGAAGATTGGATGAGGCATCAAAAACCAGATTTCTTATCCCACTTTGCCAAGGGCTCCCGGCCACTTTGTGCAAGTCATTTCATCCCTCTGGGCCTCTGGGTCCTCACATGGAGATCAGCTCATCAACAAGACCTTCCCAGCTCTGGGTGCCTAGGATCTGAGGATGGGTCTGTTCTCACCTTGTTCTGAACCACACAGCTCTGGACTGGTTCAATTCAGAAATAAGAGGCAGATGTCGACAGTCAGCATGGCGAGAATTCAGGGAGAAGGCCCCCATCACAGCATTGTTCTAAATTAACTGTGCAGGATGAGGCAGGAGGGCAGAAGAGCAAAGCCTGAATGTGAGCAGCTGAGCTCAAGTGGCCAGTGAGTCAGCACTAAGACCCAGAGGTAGAGGATCAAAGAACATCAAAAAGGGCTGCCACATTATTGGTTAAGCTATGCAAAAATACCATCATGTTTGGAGAATTCCCCAAAAGTGCAATTTGTCCGTCTGTTTGTGCCTCCTGTTGTCTATGTGGGCTCAGGATTTTCTCTCCATCCTAACCACCTTCCACTTCTTCCTTCATGATCTGAACTGCAAACAACAGAATCTTAAAAACAAGGGCAGTGAACTCCACAACTGAGAAGAAATTGGACAGTGTCAGGGACCCCAGAAGTGAGTTTGGGAATGAATAGATACAAAGTAGGCTCATATTAAAACATCTACACAGACCTGTAAGACAGACAGTAAACTCAGGCAGAGACTGAGTGAGACCTTCACCAAAGCCACAGCCTACCACAGCCCATCACAGCCCAGCAGAGCCAGGGCAGGACCATGGAGAACAACTTGTGAGCTCATTGCTCAGCAGAGTAAATTGTTGGGTGGCTTCATGGTCATTTCCCACTAGCTGCTTAACTTCTACAGAAGGACACATAGTACCTCTGGACCTCCCTGGGAGGTTCCAAACAGTCTGCAGTAAAAAATAACAATGGATAGTAGGTTCTTCTTCCTCTGTCACGTCCTTCTGCATTTGTTCTAGGATAGAAACTGGCATTTTGAGTCCCTCACAACCCACATATGTGAAATTGATGAAGTCCCAGGGTGCTTGCTCTAAAATATTTATGATTTATTTCCTCCTACAGAGTCTGAATCATCTGTGTTATTGCATTGTAACTTAGCTGTTTCTGCTATACTATCTTTGTGTACCCCAAACACAGTAGCATATCTAGCCTAAGGTAGGTGCTCAATAAACATCTGTTGGACTGAAAAATCTTACATTTATCTCCACAGTTAGGTTTCTGGCAAGCTGGGGCCATATGTTACATTTTCTTTGTATCCATTTCAAGCTATACAAACAGGTAGGTACTCAATATTTGGAAGATCCAATATATATTTGGAATAAATGGAATCAGTTGGCTGAAACTAATAACCCTTCTTCAGGCTGTGTCTGAGAACCTTCATGTACACGAACTCTGAGAAATACATACACACATGTTGAAGCTCTGCTTTTTAGGGGGTTTTCCCCATCCCTGGAGATGGAGGGGAGAGGAAGCATAACCTGAGATGATTTCTCAGGGGTCTACATTCTGAACCCAATGGTTTTAAAACCAGTAACTAAAGAATAAACCTTGGATCCAGTAAGAACTCCATTAACACACCCATATGCACATAGAAATGTTACATAAACATGTGTACTGTACGCATTTAATACATGCAGGTATGATTCTGGAGTATGATTCTGGAATATATATACTAGATGTATCAAAACTGATAACCATTCACCAACAGGATATTTTCAGATGAGTGATAATAACAGCAATACAGACTTCTATTCTTTAGTGGCTGTTGTGATTAAGACTGGTAGCAAATCAAAAGTGTTTTGACAGAGTGATTACCAGCATTAATTTACCCCCTTTCTTGGGTTCAGTACTTCTTGGGGTGCCAAGACCTACTCTGGGGGGAAAAAAAAACTTATCCATTATTTCAACTAAAAATCATAGACTGAGAAGAGAAATTCTGAAGAGGGGAAAGTAGCCCTTCTCCCACTGAGAGCCCCATGCTCATTTGTAAAATAGGGTTAATATCCCCTACCTCACAGGACTCTCTTAAGAAATGCAATGTATGGGAGGGGGTCACCCTGTAAAGTCATACAAACATATTATTATTCTTGCAATCTGTTAATCACTGATGACATTGTACCCCAGAATGCAGTACAAAATTACTGCCTCCAAACCTACACAATCCAGAACAGACACTTGACACAGCAGATGAGGTGATCTACGTATAAACCTGGTCCGAGTGCATCCTGTGAGGGGTTGAACATCTGTGAGGGGTTTGTTCGGTGCATTCTGTTCCGGTGTAAATTGGGTTTTCTTGAAAGCCAGGCAATTTACCCACGAGGTTCGCAACCGAGATTCCTGAGGTTTTGGGCACAGACCCGGCGGTTGGCCTGAGGGCCGGGGCCTGCGGGCCCTCTCCGCCCAGAGGGCGGCACCTTCTCTCTCCAGCTCGGTGGCAGCGGCGCTCGCTCGTGCTGTGTCACTTTCACCCGCAAGAGCCTGCAACCGCCAAGAAGCCGAGGAGCCGGCAGCTCCAGCGGCTTCCTTCCGCAGCATGAGGGCCTCTTGCCCGGGAGATAATCCCTGGCCATGGAGCAGGAGCCCAGCGGGCGGAGCCGGCAAAAGCGTGCGTCCGGGCATCCGGCAGCAGCGAGGGCGGCAGCGCGGGGCCTGGGCCGGGACCTGGGCCGGGACCGCCAGCCAGCCTTTGGCCCACACTGCCTCCGGGACGAAGAATTGTGTGGGGGACGCAAAGCGCACCGATTCCCTTCAGGGTCGATAAAGGCAGCAGCAGGCTCGGGCTAAGTACCCACAGAGCGCCTCCTACAAGGGTCAACCCGAGAGGGGGGAGGGCACGACATGCGCGCTTCGGTGGCTTCTCCAGACCCAGCCAGACACCCCTCCACAGCGCCGCCAAGTAGGCAGCCCGTCAATGGGGTCTGGGGACATCGGAAATACGGAGGTAGAGACTGGGGGTCTCCAGCCAAACCCCGGCCTGAGACTCCCTTGTGAACCCCGCACACACGCAAACACGACCCCCTCCAAGTAACACAGATGCGCGTGCGTGTGTGCGCGGACACCCAGGACTACGAGGCCAGCTGGGACCACCAGAGGGCTGAAAGGACCTATCTCCACGGAGATCAGGACCCACGCGCGTCCCCACTACTCTGCAGTCTGAGGTCCCCGCCCCCAAACTCCCCCCACACACGCGGGATCGGTGTGTACACACAAACAGCTGGGCGGGGGTGGCAACGCCTCACTCCCGGGGGTGGGGACGCACGCGGGGCAGCCAGCCCTCCCTCCCCTTTACGAGCCGCACCCCCTTCCTGCTCACGGCTGCCCCCCAACCCCAACCATGCAAACTCCACGAATCCAAACAGCCAACGACGCCCAGATGAGGGACTCGGACCCCGCTTGTCTTCTAACGCCAAAGGAAAGACACGCTCAACTCCGACGCGCGTTCCCCGGGACACCTCCTCCAGACGCACCCTTGCTCCAACACGCGGCCCTCGGGAGCCCCAGACCTCCGCGGCAGACGGAGCCACCGCCCCCTGCCCGCCCTCCCCCAAGATGAGCGTCTGGGACCTGTCACCTGCTCTACGTCCTAAAAAACCCGAGCCGGAGCCCACCCCGTGGCAGCTCGAGTCACTCGCCACCGCGAGCCTGGTTTTTCAGAGCCTGTCAACTTAACCCCCGCTCCGCCGGGAGAATCGATTCCCAGGCCCAAATTACACCGCGGCGACAGTAATGGCAATTTTAGAAAGCCAACAGAATCACCACCGAGGAGTATGTCCGAAACTGCAACCTCAATGGATCCACGACTTGGTTTCCTTCTCTGCTCCCATCCCCCGTGCCCCCCGCGGCCCGCGGGCTCACCAGGGACGGAGGGAGGGTGCAGAGACTGTCTAGACGACAGCCATCCCCGCTCCCGCGGGGCCGGGCGCGCACACACACACGGCCGCTGCCACAGACACAATCAGTCACCAGAGGAGGGAGGGGCGGCGTGGAGACACTCTCTCGGGGTCCCTCCTGCAGCCGCAAGGGCAGCAGTCTTTGGCGGGGAGCGGCTACCCGGAGCCGCGCTCCTACCTCGGCGGAACATGGTCAGAACAGCTGCAAGTTTGGCTGCTACTAAACCAACTGCTTCATGCAGCAAATGCGGGCTTGAAAACAAAAGGGAGAGGAATCACGCTCGCTCTCTTCCTCCCCCCGGGTCGGAACCCGGCACATGACAGCGCTACACAGCGCGGTTCCAACGCCAGCCGGGCTCCAACCGCGCGCCCCTCAGTACCCCCTCCCCACCGCAGCTCCAGGGCTGCGGCTCCCCGCGGGGCGGAGCACCCGCTAGGGAAGGGGCAAACCTTGGGAGTGGCGAGATCGTGGAGTGTGGTCCTCGACAGAGAAGGGGACCATGGATGAGCGTGGACGCCGGGCTGCCCCAGGCGCAGGGAGGGGGAAGGGGCTAATTGTTTTGGGCGGTTTTCCCGGATTTACCTATAAGCACGCGCACGTCACGCAGTCCTCCCAGGTCCCCGAATCGATCGGCAAGCTGAGGTGACTAAAAGAGGGGGGCGGACGGGGGGGATGCTCACCTCGGGGTTTCTCTGGCCGCCGCTCGCAGCGTGAGTCGGGGGTGGGGGAAGGGGGCAGGGAAGGGGAAGGGAGGCAGGAGGCTCTGGAGAGCCGACTCCTGCCGCAAGTTCCGCGCGTCCCAGCTGCGGAGGGGTTCGGGCGCCCCAGAGCACAAACCCAGCCAAGAAGGGAGGGAGGGAGGGAGGGAAGGGAACCAGGGAGGGAGGGAGGGGCGGGTGGGGGGAGGGAGTAGAGGAAGGAAAAAAATATATCCCTGTTCTGACACAGGGAAAGAGAATGTAGGAGAGTGACGTCCAGGCCCCGCCCTCCCCTCCGGCCACGTGCAAAGACTTGAAAGGAAAGAGGGCGGCGGAAGGCTTGCTGGGTAATGTAGTTCGCCTTTCTTTCCGGGGATGGCGGGCAGTGGAGAACCCGGCGCCGCGGGGACGCCCGGGATGCCGCGTGAGCATCCGAGATATCCCAGTATAACGAGGCCGAAACCCGCGCCCAGTGCCCCTGGACGCTGGCACGGCCCTGGGAGCGGGCCTCTGCGTTGGGAAAACGGAGGGCTTAGGCGCGTTCCAGGCTTGCGGGGCAACGTTTGGTTTTTCGGGGCAGGAATGCTTTATGGTTGAGGACTTAGGCGCTTAAAGTGCAAAGTCTGTCCTAATAGCAGATAAAAGGGAGTTCGGCGTGTGTATTGGCCGGCCCAAGTGGCGCTGTTAATGCTGCATTAAATGCTGCCGTCTGTTATTGAGATGCATATGTTATAATTAACATTTGAACATCTCGGGCAGGGGCGGGATGTTGTAATTAGATATGCACTTTGTAACCAATTAATTTTCCATTGGCCATGCTGTGGGCTGGGACTGGGGACTTGGTGGCTGGGAGAATTCAATACAATGGAACATTCGGTAATCTCTTAACCAAATCACCAATGTTTTTTGAGTACCTACTAGGTGCCTGGCATTGAGCTTGGCACAGAGAGGCCTTCAGGAGAAATGTAGGATGCTGTACACCCCTCCAAGCAAGGGGAATATAAACTCATCAGAGGAACTGTGTGACACAGTATAATTGCCGTAGAAATCCGTTTATTAATTCAGAGAACATTTGGTGAGCACTTTCTACAGGCAGAACATGTCTGGAAATGCCAACACGAGTAAGATCCTCAGTCCCTGTCCTCAAGCTCAAAGTCTAGTGTAAGGATTACAGTCATTGCAAGTAGAAGGAATAAGTCAACACTTGATGCAGGCATAAGCATAAAGTGCTAGGGAACCCTAGGTGAAGCAGCCAACCAGGATGGAAGGTGGATGGAGGTGGGAGAAGGTCAGGGAAGGCTTCTTGGAGGAGGTTTTTAAATAAAGGCAAAGGAATTGGTAGGCATCTGACAACGGCAACAGTGTACAAATGCTCCCGGTGAGAGAGAAAACAGTGAATTCTGAAAGTCCTAGCAATTTGGCAGGGCAGAAGGGCCAGGTTGATGGGGGGTGGAGGGTAGGCTTAGAGAGCAGGAGTCTGGGACAGCTCACTGGAGGTGGGGCTTGAAGTGGGCCTTGAAGGATGGGTGGGATTTCATTTTGTGTGAAGAGCTTGTGTTCCAGTCTTAAGGCTCAGAGTGAGCCAAACCTTGGACAGAAAGCAAAGCAGAATCCATCATGGTATAGATATTTTATAGTCAGATAGAATCAGTTAGCCCACTTATGTCACTTTAAAGCTGGGTGAATTTAGGAGTGTTACACGACTTCTCTGAGCCTGGGTTATCCTCAACTGGGAACAGAAACAAGTGTATCATAAAGTTGTTAAGGGAATTAATGAAACATGGAATAGCCTGATTGTTAGTAAATAATGAAGGAGAAGAAGAAGAAACCAGTCAGGTCCTATAGAGCAGTTCATTTGATTCTTGTACCAAAGGGCATGTAAGCATGTCTTCCTTTTAGAGAGAAGCAGCAGGCCCACAACTGGAAACCAGTTGTCTGGGTGCCAGGCCCCCTTCTCCAATCCTCCCTCCACCCACCAAAGAACCTGTTTAAGCACACCTTTTCCCACTGGTTTACCTCATTGGCTCAGCAGTGTGCTATTTTTATGCTTTCACATCTGGAGTATTTCCTGGGTTTGCAAAATATGAAATAATAGCACTGGAGTCTATCCACTCAGCAGATTGCCATTTACCTTGCCTTTTGTTGTCAGTGCTGTTTGCACATTTGTGTGAGAGACACCCCACCTGCAAGGACAGGAGCATGGAATTGTCAGGGTCTTGGTTTTGCTTTCGCTTTAAATCACACCCCTAGAGGTGAGAACAGGATCCATCCCAGAGGTGATGAGAGTCTGAGCTACTGGGTAGAATGCAAAACAACCCTGGAGAGGGCACACCTCTGTTTGGGGTGTGCCTGGAGTGAGAAGGCCATTGAGGACAGCACAGCCTGGGAGTTAGCCTGATTCAGGTTTGCATCCCAGGATGACATTCCTGAATTTGTGACCTCGGACAGCTTACCTACCCTCCACAAGGGTGACCTTGGGCAGCTTAGTCAACAACCTTTCTTGGCTTTGTGAGAACCAACAGTGATAATGTATTTAATGTATTTAAACTGGATCTGACACACAGCAAATGCTCAGTGATAACTGATTCCTTTCTTGGTCCCAGGGTCTTTCTGGACCAGAAGAATGATCCCTGAATTTTCCTTTCTGCAGAGTCAGGTCAGCTGAGCTGGTGTTGCAGGGAGGATTCTGTGCGTGACTCATCTTCACGTGTGACGTAGGTTAGGTTTGTTTTCAAGGAAGCTCCACTCAGTTCTAGTTCTCACCTCCTCCTGGCCCAGCTCTGAACCCTTACCAGCTGGCAGTGATTGCGCTCTTCCTCTCCCCACCCTGATGCTCAAAGCCCTCCAAAGAGTGTTCCCACTTGAGGCATGTCCAGAACTCCCATAGTGCTTCTCCCTGCCTATTAAAACTTACCTCCAAGCTCTCTGCTTTTCCTCCAATCTAATACCTTCACTTATATATGATAAGATAGCCTTTACCTCCTCTCCTCCAACTCCTACCTGTTTGTATTCTTTTTTTTTAAATCTTCACCGGAGGACATTTTTCCATTTTTTGTTCAGATAGAATGGGAGGGAGAGAGAGGGAGGGAGAGAGAGAGAGAAACGTGGACCTGAAAAGGATACATCGAGTGGCTGCCTTCCGCACGACCAACCAGGGCCGGGGACAAACTGCAACCGAGGTACATGCCCTTAATGGGAACCGAACCCGGGTCTCTCTGGACCGTAGGCTGCCGCTCTAACCGCTGAGCCAAACTGGCCAAGGCTGTTTGTATTCTTATCAAGAGCTTTTTGAAATGGCTTCTCGTGATGGGAATTCCTGGCTGGAACGGAGGTCTTTGAGAGGAAGGTGTCTAGGTCTCTCAGACCCAAGTTCCTGAGTGTGGAAGGCCTGGGGCTTACTTGGTCACTCATGTAATGTCCTTCCTTCCCTGCTCTGTAGTTGATCTTATGCCCCACCTGCAGGCTTCAGTCAGAGTTGCTGCTGGGTGCAGAGTTAATGAACTGACACTGGACTTGGTTTAATTGTGGCAGGTTTGAGTTGCCAAGAGTTGCTTTGTCTGATTTGTTGCCACACAGCCTGGAAATTAAAAGTCAGAATGTTCCTCTCTGTTTTAAGCAGTTGCTTTTCCTAATCCACTCCCCTAAGAAACTGTATTAACAAAAAGAAATATTTCTCTTTTCTTCCCATTCCTTCTCCATCTATCAACACAACTGTTGCAGGCCCGGTGGGAGCCTGGCTGGAGCCCACCTGAGTGCTGGGGGAGAAGTCACCTTGCCTTCAGATGCTGAGTAGACCAGGCTGGCACCCGCGAGGTAATGGGAAAACGGATGAAGTGCTACACTGTGTAGGGGTGATTTTAAATGAACAAAGGGTTCCTAGAAGGCTAGAATGGTCAGAGAAGGTTTCTGGGAGGAAAGTAGAACCGGATCCATCTATAATTTCCCATAGGCAGGAGGTCAAGAGTGGCCTAGCATTAGCCTAAGCGGCATTGCAAAGTAGCGTCTTTAGGCGGACGCTAGAAAGTGGGTTCATCAGTATCAGTTTTGTGGCCACTGACCCCAAAGAAGGAAGGAAGTACCGGTCTAGTGTCTACGCTCTATTACTGGGGTGTTGGCCTGGAGAGATAATGGCTTGATAGAACCAGGTTAAATTTCACCCAGGCCTCATCTCAGCTTCCACTATACAACTCCAAGCCCAATGCCGGAGAGGCAGATGGAAAGTGATCCTCTAGGGTTGAAGTTGGTGGTGGAGGAAGGAACATCAATAGAGAACAACAAGCTTGAGAAAAGCAAAAGCTAAGTAAGAATAAACCAACCAATATTTCATGGGGAGCATGCAGTGCATCATGGGGATCTAAGTGTGTGAAACTGGGTTCCAGGTCCCACCAGACCCTATCCTGCTATGTAACATTTCCTCTCGTTGGACCTCAGTTTTCACACCTGTAAAATGGGAGGGTTGGACTCTACAATCTCTAAAATTATTTCCCAACCTGAAGTTCTCCTTTCAAGAAGTTTACAAACCAGCTGGCAAAAGAAGCTATAAAGTTAAGTAGTCAAAAGTATACTCTTTAATTCCAGCAGAACAGGAAGGGTTTGTACTATTCATTAAGCAAAGCCCTGAAGTCCACGAGAGAACAGAAGACAACCAGATCTTGTCTTGCAAGATTCCAGGACAGTAAGTGAAGTCCATGAGTAGTTAGGCATTCTTTAAGTCCCTGAGAATTCAAGGTCAGACCTCTCCACTCAGCACCTCATCCACAGATGGCCTTGTCCAAGGTGAGGACCTCAGCAAAGATACACCCCCACATATCTGCAAGAGACAAGTTTCAATGTCCAGCTACACAGAAAAACTGTGCCACCCTCACCCTGGGAAAGGTAGCCAGGCATATTGGACCAAGAGTAGACATCTGATCCAAGGGACACCAGGCTATTGGCTAGGCTTGGACTTAAGTGGCCCTGGCTTCAGCAGATGAACTGAGCCAATCAGATACCCTTTTGCAAGAATCTACAAGAAAAGGCTAAAAGACTTCTCACTGGTGACTGCTCCTTAG